TTCCATCTGATTCTTTCACTTTCCACTATGCATATCAAGCAACAATGATTATATCGGGGTAAAACTTTGCGTGAATAATACGTTTAAAGTATGCCACCTTGTGACCAAAAATTGTCTAAATCGAACCAAAACTGTTCAAGCCCCTAGGTACTAAATATGTGGACCCCAGTGCCTATAGTTGACCTTCTACCGAAAATATCAGCCAATCCATAAAGAAATCTGAAACGAGTACAACATTTGACTTTGCGAGAGTATAAAATGTTCGCTTACATCTGAACTTAGCCCTTCCTTACTTGTTTTCTTTAGTTTTAATAGTTTTAAATATGGATCATTCCTTAGCACCTTTTAACCGAACAAAACAAGCAAAAACCATATAACGGTACATTCTTGTAGCATGATTTCTTTATCAGTGATTGTTTATACAAAAATGAGAAAACCATAAAACTATAAAAAAGCTGAAAGTTAATAACAAAAAAATCAGAAGCAATTGTTTTAAACTGATGAAGGTGAGTTATTACTAAGTACAAATAAACTTTGAAGAAGCTGAGTAAAAAAGTATGAATGTATGTTTTCCTATACAGTTCAAATTTTAATTTGTTGGTAAATATGATTCCAGATGGTTACAAAGCGACCGCTGTCTGCCTTAGCAATGCTCATTACGGCTAATATGATAATCTGAAATCATCATCAAGAAGTTTGCGGAATTATTTTAATAAACAAATCAAGAAGGGCTAAGTTCAGGTGTAAACGAAAATTTTATGAAGGGATCACAGGCTGGGGAATATTAGTACACGCAGGACTATACGTTCATTTAATTTTGCTAAGACTTCTTACAAATTGAAATTCGTATATTAGGTATATGATGGCTAAGAGTAGTATTGTATATATCTCTGAATTTTAATAACAAATGCCAGAGTCTTACCGATATTTTCGAAAAACAATCAGTTTGTGGGCACTTGAAAAATTATCGTCTGACTCGACCATTTTTGACCATTTAGGTTTGATGTACAAAATTCATAGCACTAAAGCTAAATGAACTAAATTTGCTCAGGATAAATCTTTGTAGCACTTCCTTCGACAGTGCAAAAATAGGAGAAATCGTATGATAACCCCAAATACTCTCCATGTAACGGTTATGTTGAAAAGTACTAAAAGTGCGATTACTCAATAAATTGTTACTGTACAAGACGAAACGGAAAGTCTACACAGAAATTGGTGTAATCTCAGGAGCTATCCGATCAATTTCAATAAATTTTTGTGCATAGAATTACTTTGATATATATGTTACAGTGCTAAATTAGACAATAACCACGCCTACTACTAATATAATACAATTTTAAGAAAAAATCAAGCACCAATGAAGACATCGAAATAAAACTTTGTGCATCCTATCTCACTTCAAAAAACAAGCTTTCAAGCTCCCCTCACGTAATATGGGGAAAAAGCACTCAATTTGGGAACCAGTAGGATGTCAAAAGCTCTAACTAACTTTTACAGCATCCCCCGGAAAATTGTACTTAAAAAACTTTACAATTTTTGGTTCAATTAACCGGAGAATAAATTAACCGATACTCGTTTAATTGAACATTTCATTGAAATACAGAAATCCCGCTTACTTGGACAACCTAACCAATTAGTTGTAATTTGTTTAGTTTTTAGTAATGGTATTTAAATAATATTTTTAACTTTAAACGGAAAAAGTATAAGGAACAAAATCAAGACAATGCACTTATATATTTAAATATCATTGTTATAAAAAATAAAATAAACTTAAGGAATAAGAACAATTCATATTATTGTATATATGCAGCACTTGCATTCACACATTTAGAGGTCGTTGGTTACATTTTTAAAATGTTAAATAATTGAAAAAGCCTGTATTTTTTTGTATATTGTTCAATCTATGAGATATAACAAAGGATTCCACATTCCCGAATTCACACAAAAACTTGTTTCCTGAATAAAATTTTTTTGAAGATCTTGTATGTATTTTAAAACTTCGAGAACGGAGGCTTTGGAGGATCATCTTTTATCTCTTGCTCATTGTATAAATCTACAAGTAACCAATCCAAAGAATTTCACTAATACACACGCAAAAACGTCCCACTTGGTACGAGTTGCCTTAAAAATTCTACTACTAAAATCACACTTACTTATATTCTACTACTTAAGCGTCGAAATGACTCAAATCTGCCACAATGTGTTGCCGTATTATGTTTTAAAATTTATAACTTTAAGAATGTTTTTATTACATAATCAAATATTTTTCGATTGTTATATTGTTTTGATTATTATTATTGTTGTTTCTGAATTGTACCTCTTTTTTTATACTCTCGCAACCTGTTGCTGCAGGGTATAATAGTTTTGTTCGCCTAACGGTTGTTTGTTTCACCTAAAACTAATCGAGTTAGATATAGGGTTATATATATATATATATGATCAGGATGAAGAGACGAGTTGAAATCCGGGTGACTGTCTGTCCGTCCGTCCGTCCGTGCAAGCTCTAACTTGAGTAAAAATTGAGATATCTTTATGAAACTTGGTAGACATGTTTCTTGGTACCGTGAGACGGATGGTATTGCAGATGGGCGTAATCGGACCACTGCCACGCCCACAAAAGCCATTAATCAAAAACAAATAAATTGCCATAACTAAGCTCCACAATAAGATAAAAGACTGTTATTTTGTATACAGGATCACATTAGGGAGACGAATCTGTAGTTAAAATTTTTGTTCAAAAGTGGGCGTGGTTCCGCCCCCTTATAGGTTTAATGTGCATATCTCCTAAACCGCTAAAGCTGTAATAACAAAATTCACCGAGAACAAATATTTTAAGCGCCTCTATCGACAGTTTGAAGATGGGTGAAATCGGGTGACAACCCCGCCCACTCCCCATATAACGGTACTGTAAAAACTACTAAAAGTGCGATAAATCAAGCACTAAACAAGCCAGAGACATTAAGTTTTATCATTGGGATGGTATAAGACAATTTTGCAGGAACCATGTTCAAAATTAGATAGTGGGCATGGCACCGCTCACTTTTAGGTGAAAACCCATATCTTGGGGTCTGATTAACCGATTTCAACCAAGTTCGGTACATAACATTCTTAACATATTTATATCGCGAAAATGGGCAAAATTGGATTAAAACCACGCCTATTTCCCATATAACACCATTTGAAATTCCACCTGATTCTTTTACTTTCCACTATGCAAATCAAACTACAATGATTGTATCGGAGTAAAACTGAACTTGCGTGAATAATGCGTTTAAAGTATGCCACCTTATGACCAAAAATTGTCTAAATCGAACCAAAACTGTTCAAGCCCATATGTACTGAATATGTGGGGTCCATGCCTATAGTTGAGTTTTTATTTAAAATATTGGTCAATGTGTAAGATATATAATTGAAATTTATATAATAAAATAAATAAAGGAAACTCTCGATAATATTATGTTTTGGTGTCAAAAATGGGTTGAATCGGATCAATACTTCCTTGAATATACAATTTTGCCAACATCTGACGTAATTTCCCTTGCAAGTTGCGAGAGTATAAAATGTTCGGTTACACCCGAACTTAGAACTTCCTTACTTGTTAAAGTTAGCTTTTGCAAAGTTGAACCGTGTACAGAAGCTAGAAATTTGATGATTATTATCCAGTACATTGCCCATAATTTCGGCAGTTATTTCCAAAGAAGGATGATACGAATCTTCTGGTAGAACAAGTGGAATTCTAACCAGGTTAAATTAAGCGGGAAAGCTTACACGTATTTTGTATGCAATATATTATATTTTTGACCGATCCGGTGATTGAAATAAGCGGGAAAATCAACTAACAGCGGGTCAATTAAGCGGGGAATACTGTATATTGTTTTTGTTATTGAAGCGTCGTGAACTTGTTTTAAAAGTATTATATTTCATTCAAGCCAAATATTATATTTTAACCATTATTACAAAGTCGAGGCAATTAAATACTTTTGATAAATATTTAAATAAAATTTAAATTCCAAATATATTTGATTTGCGATTAATGTATCTAAATTTTTTTTCAGACAGGACTAAGTGTAAATTGCAAGTGTCTACAATTTATCATTGACTAGCTTTATCCTCGGCTTCGCTCGCATTGAATCTCTTAAATAAATATCAAAGAGAATTTTTAATAGAAATAAAATGATAACTGTACTTTATTTCTTAGCTGGATGGATTGATATTTAAAAATTCCAAATATAATGAAGGTATAATAACTGAATTATAAATTGCAGAGTATTATTCTAAGATACTTGGCGCCAATCCCTCCTTATTCGACTCAAATGTATGCTCGGCGAGTGACTTTTTCATGTTTGGGAACAAAAAGAAGCGGAGCCAGTTTTTTTTTTGCCAAAGGTGGCAAAGGTTTTGCATTATAAAAAAAAAAAAAAATGTAAAGAGGGTTTGAATTTTGGCCATTCAGTTTAAGTGTAAAGCTTTGAAATTGACGAGGTTTGTCGAAACCGACAATATCGGACAACTATAGCATATAGGTTTCATACAAACCGACCAATCCAACTTCACATGTCGTTTTGAAATGGCGCCTAACTAATAAAATACTCACATTACTTTACGTCAGCGGCAACTCGCCAAGGAAATTAAAGAGCTTATCAAGAAAGCATTCAAATAATTTAATCCATGTACACTGTTATCACCATATTGAGGCAAGTTACGTAACCGGTTGGTTTGAGATCCAATGTAAGGAGCCGCAAAATATTTTACCGAGCGCCAATAACAAATGTATTTTTAATCGTGTTTTACACTTTACAATATAAATGGCAGTTGATTTCTAGTCATTACATATGAAAAATAAACGATTGTTTAATTTCCACAAGCCCCATTTCTATTTCTAACTTTTTGTAGGATATATTTCGGTTCGATTGTCACAATTTGATCTATAACCTTTGTACATTTTGCAACAGTAAAATATAATTAAGACACATTGACTAACATTTCATTTCCGTTTTTAGTTTAATGCTCCTACAAAATGAAATCAACGGATCACCAACCACAAGGCTATAGCTTTTGTTTTACAGTATCACCGCTAGTATATTTGTCCGTTTAATATTACATAAACATCTGACATATGTCGGTCAGCCATTGCTAGTATTGTGTATTATTAACGAACTTTAGAAGGAATGTAGCGTATCGAACGTTTTATATAAAAAATACTCGGATACACAAATGAGTAAGTCGAGCTTGTCCGTGAAAAAGGCGAATTCAATGTTATATACACGTGACTGGTCTTAACTCGTTTTTGGCAATAGTTGACCTAGCCATGTACAATGTGTGAAATCTGACAAATAAAAATTTGAATTGTGTTACCTTTGAAGTGGGTATGCGATATGTCCATATGTATGTTTCTACATTGTATTCTACAGAGTATGATTTGTGATGGTTACCAATGTCTGCTGTATCAAATATGGCAGAAGGAAATGTCACGTCTATGGATAGCGCTTTTTACTTATTTGATGTTAACAGAGAGTTTGGTTAGCTCTGAGTTAGCGAGTGATATGGAGAATTACCAGTTTGTTAATGATGGTCGCTTGGATTATATGATGATACCACGTGACTATGATGACAGAATGAATTCAAAATCGTTGACAAATTTGAAGTGGCTACATTTTTCTAAAAATGACTTTTTGTATAGCTACGCGGATGAAATGCTTAGCAAAACAATTATTCAGAGTCTAGCGCTGATATTAGAAGAACCAGTTATGTTACTAAGTCCAAAAAATATGACATTTCGTGTTAAAACAAAACCGGCAATTCAGACAGTTTCTCTAATGGCTAATGCTATTTCACAATCTACAATACAAAAACATAAAATATTACGATACGCCAATCATATTCTGCAAGAAGGAGGTGTAAAAATTTTAAGTCGTGAAAGATTATTTGAACGCCACAGCCATACTGCGCAAGACTCTGATATTAAATCAACACAAAGCATGGATCTAGAAGCTGTACCAACAAAAAATAAACATAGCATTGTAGATGTTTGCGAGTCATGTCAAATGCGAGAAAAAGTGAAGCTCAAAAGCTTAGAATCAATAAAAAATCTTATTCTCATTCGCTTACAATTACAACGCTTGCCAAATATAACCAAGCCCATAGTTGTGCCTCATAACATTATTGACAAATTCTATAAAAACTTTCATGGTCCAGTGACAGACAACTTCGTGGGCTACAGCATGAACTCTGAGGTGCGAAATGCAGATTTAAACGGACTAAGGCAGCAGAAAAAATTTGTCCCAAGCTTACCACAATACACAAAGATTGCTAGGATGCACAGAACTCATTACCAGTATGGACAGCGACGTCTCTTTGATAATCAAAATACACAAGGGAAATACCAGACAATCCACAAAATACCCAGTAAACCTTCGCTAGATCCTTCCCTCATTCACTCTCACGACAATTACGAAAAACTACACGAACCAACTGAGCATGTGCAAAACGATGAATATGTACAGAATGATGGCCTTCAACTGCAATACGATGATCAACACATGCTTAGTATAAATAATCGAAAACAACCAATGAATAACCAGCAAGAAAAATTGTTTCCTCCCATTGAAATTGATACATATGGCATATCCCATGAGAATTTTGGTACATATGACCCCATAAGGGACGTAGATGATGAATCGCTCTCGCATGTTAACAGCATATATGTTTTTCCATCCGGTAAGTGGCTTGTAGATAAGTAAAGTATGACAATATCTTTAAATAACAATGATACGAATAGTTTTGACATATCTCTTCATTTGCAAAATTGGCACACACATCTCTTAGAAGCCAAACTATTTTGCTGTTCCAAATGGGTATTTTAACAATAATCTGCTACAAAGCAGTATTAAAAATATTATGTTTTTGCTCCATATCACATTTAACTGACAGCTGAAAATTGTGTATGTTTTTATTTGGAGAGATTTTAGGGAACGGAATAGAGTTGGCAAATCACTGAGAACAATAACAGAATAACCAATAACCATACCTGCTTCCTTTATAATACCACTATACATTTTCTTAAGAGGCATGTTATTCTTTGGACATATATTTTATTTCTGATTTATTTAGCATATTTAAATTATCTTCCATTTCGTAATGGCGTTGTTAAGCCTGTCATCAATAATGCTTCACAATGTATTCAACCCCAGATCTATCGAGCTCTAAACTGTAGCTGTTGGAAGAATGCTATAAATATGCAATTTAATATCAAAATAAAGAGTATAAGATTTTCAGCGTGACGAGCTGAGTCGATTAAGCCAGAGTAGTCCGTCTGTTTTCGAAAAGAAGCTGCACATTTGTCGGAACTGTCGATATTAACCATTATAGCATAAGTATATCTGCCATAAAAATTGTCCGATCAAAATCTGCACGAAATTTGGCATGGATTATTGTGCAAGGCCGCGCTACAATTTTCGAACAAATTTTTCAGATGGGACCACTATAGCATATAGCTGTCATTCAAACTGATCGATCAAAATAAAGACAAAATATATTTTTTCCCTATTAAGTCTTAATACGAGTTTAGGGTTCTTTATATCAAACAACGTATGGGAGAACGTGGCTAGAAAGAGCAAGCAAACCGTTGGCCGGTTACGTTTTTAGTTTTAGTTATACATATAGTTGCTATAAGAAATGCCCCTGTAAAGGGTATTATAGCTTCGGTGCAGCCGAAGTTAAAATTTTTTCTTGTTTTAAATAATTTCGCATGTGTAGATAACGTGTCTTCTGAATATTTCGACTTGAAACATTATATATTTAAAGCTTCTCGCGTGCGTCACAATCGTAGATGGGATGTAATGAATTTTAAATTTGATCACAGCCATTTAACAATAGTTCGTACGATAATTCATCTTTACATACGTGGTCGGGATTGGATGCTAAAACATTATCCCGAAATATTGGAACAAACGGTTGTTAATGGGACGACCATGCGACGACGTGACCTAATTATTATGATTCATCACGTCGCGCGAGGTTCGCATTACCAAAATCTCACACATACGTTAAAATTATTAGAAAGCCGTCATCGCATACCAGCGGGCTTAGGACAATGGGTGCAATTGGAAGTGAAACATAAACTACCATTCTGGCTGAACCAAAATTATATTACAATGACGCTTGCAATTAAGACGCGTGAGGCTTGGATGCGGACATTTTTAGTAATCGATACTGAAGATACACAAAATAATCAATTTGTAAGTATTAATATTCTAGGTAACATAAAATGCTTTATTTAATTCGAATGTATAAATTTAGTGTTTTGTGATTTCTAGTAAGTCAAATTCTAATAGTTTTAGGTAGACCAAGTATACGAATGCTGTTAAACTGTTATGAAATGTGTTCACAACTGGTTTTGTCATTTAAATTACTTGCCTCGCATTTTAAAAAGTTGTAATTTTATCAAAAAAAAATTTTTCGAGGCTGAATTTTGAGCCTGTGTATTTGTAGGAATTACATTAGACAAAATAATTTTCACTCATCAGTCCTTAGTAGAATCATATCCATCATCATATATAATTTGTATTTGTAATTTCAATAATTATTGAATAAAGTTTTGATTGACTACAGTGGATAATTTGTATCAACTGCTGAAGTTTCGAGCACTCATTTTATTTTATTAAATAAAACTTCCAAAAATATTTGATGAGTTAAGCAATGATAATTAAGACCAGAAAAATTATTAACCTTAGTTTCGAACCATGTAATAAATACTTTTAAGGTATTTCCTCTAGTAACAATTTCAAATATATATTGTTTTATTTATAGCCTCTACACATCGAAGCATTTATCAGACAGCCTCGTCGCCGAAAACGAAGCACATCATTAGATTGCCAAGAGAGTGACCACGAAGTGCGTTGCTGCCGATACCCACTTAAAGTAAATTTTACTAATTTCGGCTGGAACTTTGTCGTTGCGCCAACCTCATTCGATGCATACTTTTGTAATGGAGAATGTAAAGTTGGTTATTTGGAACAATATACTCATACCCATATTGCATCATTAACAACTTCTGCGACTCCCTGCTGCTCACCAACTAAAATGAATTCATTAAGTTTACTTTATTTTGACCAAGACCATAATTTAGTTTTAAGCACGATACCTAATATGTCGGTGGAGAAATGCAGTTGTTCGTAAATAATTATAAATATGTGCATTTTGCGTATGCATTTATGAATATTAATTATGGGTAAGTTTTAGAATAGCATTCCGCGAATTCGGGGTTGAAATGGGTATGTACGGATAGAGGAGGTTCTTCAGATTCAGAAAAAAAAAAATATATATGGTTGCCGCTGAGTTATGGTTTTTGAGATATTTGTATCAAAAGTTCAAAAACTTAACCATTGAAAGTGCGTATTTCTTCGATTTATAATGATTTTTCACTGATATTTTTAACTTTTATATCCACTAACACTTTACTAATTAGTTTCCACACATTTATTTTATATTAAATAGTGCAAAAAAACTTTCATTCATTATTTGACTTTTGTTTCATTACTTTTATTCACATAATAACCAAAGGGTTGCATTCTAACAAATAATCAGTGCTATCTTATCTACATATTTTATAAAGAAACCCAAAGGAGTAAAGAAAACCGATAATACTCCAATGGCAGGAAATAAATAACAAATTATTAGTTTTTCGCGTAGAATTTCTTTGTGCATTGGCGGCCTTCGGCCGCGATTCAAAAAAAAAAAATAGCCCTGGTCGGTCCAACACCGGGGTGTCTTTAGTTCTTGCGTAAAACTCATTTTTGCGTTGGCGGCCTTCGGCCGCGGTTCAAAAAAAAAAAATAGCCCTGGTCGGTATAACACCGGGGTGTCCTCAGTTCGTTTGCGTAGAAAACGTTTTTCCGTTGACGGCCTTCGGCCGCGCTTCAAATAAAAAATAACCATCGATCCAACATCGGAATTTACCAAGAGAAATCATCACACGATTATGAATTTTGTATTGACGGTAAAATCCTTCTTTTTTATTTATTTATAATCGTTTGAAAAATATGGAAACAATTATTTTTTGTTTGCATGCAACCACTTTGTTATTGTTTAAATAAATGGATTTGAACCAAAGTTAAATATTGAATTAACATTAGTTTTGCACTATTAAATGCAAAACATATGTGTAGAAACGAATAAGTGTAGTTAGTATTAGTGCATATAAGAGTTAAAAATATAAGGGTAAAATTTATTATAAATCAAACAAATAGGCACTTTAAATGGTTGAATTTTGAACTTTAAATGCAAATATCCCGAAAACCATAAGTCACCTAAATTATTCTTATTTTCTTAATCTGGAGAACCTCCTCTATCCGTACATACCCATTTTAACCCCGAAATCGGGGGATTCTTAATTTTTACTGCATGTTTCAATATTATTGCCATATGCAATAGAGATATATTTATAACTACAAATTGTATCGATGACACTGAAATTCAGTTACATTAATGTACAATAATAATAAATGCTTATTTTGGACCAGCAGGTATGTAATATGCTAGACAAGAATATAAATGCCATCGTATATTTGTAAGAATTGTGCACAATTACCCTACAGGTTCTGCGTTGCATTAAATTTTTTGACCAATGTTTATGAGTCCGGTAGGTCTGACGATGAAGCCGAATAAAATTTTTCCATCATACTACCAGATCCTAGTGTAGTAACGGTTAATGGAACGATCCGATAAGGATATAATGATGGCGTCTTTAGCACGAGATATTGCAGGTGGTATTGAGGTTTTACTACTTATCACGGCAGTATTTCCAGTGGCGATGACAGCAGTGATAATGACCCACTGGTCGCAAAAAGTTCTTGTTATTAACACCGTACAATAGCTCCAGTTTGTCGCAAGTGGCACCACCTATATTCTTCAAGTTCGTCGAGTAATTCTGAAGTAATTACTGAACAAAATCTTGTAAAAAATTATCTAATTGAACTCAATCCAGTATCAATATTTGAAAAGTATTTGATGAAGAAGTCATTGATTTTATTATAGCCAACAGTATAATATGTCCAAGTGAAAACAACTTTATAACGCTTATGTCGAGAAATATATTTCTTGAAATCAAAAACGGTAACATAAATCATCTTGTTGAACAAAATACAGCTACAACCCCCCAGATAAAATGTTTAAAATAAGAGCTTTGGCAAATGTGATAATGAAAAAATGTAATCAAAAAGTAACTATTGCGCCACTGAAACAGTACGAGAGAATCTACAAGAAAATCTCCTTTGAAGAGTGTGAAAAAGAGCTGCAAAATAATCGATGGGACTATCGATAGTTTTATTTTCGTCTCACTATAGATAGTTTATTTTGACTATCGATGGTTTATACCTTAACTAGACTTCCCAACATATTTCAAAAAATTGCAAAATCCTCTTATTATATGTTCTGTATTATAAATATTATATAATAATAATAGTCTGGTTATACCAAATGTGAAGTCTAGTAAATCAATGTTGATTTCTGTATTCATTTTGCTACTTTTGTATTCCAGCAACTTTTACAGAGTGGATTGCTAATACATATTAGAAAGAATAACAGCACTAAACGCTACTAACAAATTACTATTTTTAACAAGTGGATTATTAAGGAATAAGGTCCTCTACCAAAACTTTTTAAGTATACATTTTTGATCTCCTAGTACATTAGCAAGTATATAAAAATATACTTTTTTATAACTTGTCAGCTCTCAGAGCACCTTATATGGTAACATGAAAAATATTATATGTAACCTTATTAATTTTTTTGTGTTTTACGTTATTGTTCATGTTTTGTTTCATAAAGATGCAGTGTACAAAACCAAGGTCTTTTAATTTAAACTAGCGCAAAGTATGTAGATTTCAAGGGGGAAAACTTTCGATACTATTGATAGTATTTTTTAAACTATCGAAGTTATCGAGTGGTCCACCCATCGATAATTTTGCAGCTCTGGTGTGAACGACATGAAAAAGAGAGGGAAAGTTCAGTAGACCACATTTTTATAAACGAAGTATGTATTTTTAGTCAGATGGATAGACAATAGTGTTTGTACAATTGCTACGAACTTTGACTGTATTAAACCGATAGGTTAGGGGAACTGTTGGTGTCCAGTAGGTGGGTAGGTAGGTAGAGTGGCTGTCTGACGACACACCTAGGCCTTTTGGAGACCTATTTATAACACGTTCGCTGATTAAATGTTTACAAGTGGCCAGAGTCATAAATATTCCCTATTTTTCAGAGGCTTATTGTAGAGTGGTGCCTGTTCTGGCTAGTTCATTTGCTTCGCAGTTACCAGGGATATCACTATGCCTTGGAACCCATTACAGGTTTATCGTGAAGTAGGATTTTAGATCCTCTAAGAGATCAAGATATTCTTTCACCAATCATAGGAGACTTCAGTGATTTCTTTTTTCAACTTTTTTGAGGACCGAATTTAGTTTCAATTCTATTGGATTACCAAAATCCGTGGTAGTGGGTAGAAACGGGAACAGGCCAACATACCAATATACCGTCATGTTCGGTCTAATAAAACTACCAATGAGCTATCCGAGGCGTTAACCCCCTATTTGGGGCCCACCATCCTTTTGCAGGTATAGAGTGCAGTGCTGCTTTCTTCACCCTAGCATCTAAGTTTGGTTTCCATGAAAGCTTCGTGTCTAAGATTAGTCTTAAGTAGCTTGCCTTTTCTCCAATTGTTAGTCTGCTACCACTTAATACTGGCGCCGTTACTTCTGCAGTATTGTGTTTCCTGGTGAAAAATACTAGCTCCGTATTACTAGCATTTAAATTTAATCTGCACGATACGGCCCAACGATTTATATCGTCTAAAATTGTTTGCATAAGATTGGCGAGAGTGTTCGGGAATTTAGATCTAACCGAAACTGCCACGTCGTCAGCTTAGGCCACAACATGTACTCCATTATTTTCTAGATCCAACAACATCTTATTTATTGTCAAGATCCAGAGAAGTGGGGATAACACGCCTCCTTGAGGTTTACCTCTTTGGACAGATCTGCACATCGTTGAAGCTACCAACGTGAAAATTATTGACCTGGAAGTGAGCATCTGTTCAATTAATTTTCTCAGATGTTCAGATCCTTAAGGGCGCTCAGTATGGCGCTAGGCTGGATATGATTGGAAGCTCCTTCTATATCTAAGAAGGCAAGTAACCTTTAACTTTCAGAGATTTTTCAATCTCCGCCACCGCTGAGCCTAGTGCTGTTTCTGTGAATTTTCCTATAGAATACGCATGCTGCAAAACAGCCACTTTTCTGGTTTTAGTTTGTTTTTTATGTGTATTTCTATTAGCCTTTCCAAGGGCACAATAGACCCTAGGTCGCAGTGCATACCTCATTTTCAAATCTAATTAGCCTTTACAACGTTTTTAGGAGGAATAAGGAGAGACTAATTGCTCTGAAATCCTTTGAACTTGTATGTGAGCATGAGGAACTTAAAACCAGCAGGTTGCGACCGTTTCCCAGCCTACTGCTGCTGTGTTATGGTTGCTATAACGATGTAACATAAAAACGTTAAGGATTTTCTTTGCCATTTTACATGCTCTGACTTCACTTTCCCTATTTTCCATCTAAAGCTTGTAGTTCGGTGTCCTGCATCCGCAAATACGCCCTCCATTAACCCATGGCTCCTGAATGAGGACAAACTCAAGCTGTTCTATTACCACGCGGTTAAATAGGGCTACTGAAGCTAGTTTGCTGTGATGTAGATTAATTTGAAGACGCATTAAATATTGTTATATATGCATCTTCCTGAAAATCACTTAAAAGATCTCCCTCAGTATAAAGTTTTGAGGGTTTGTCAGCAAGCTCAGACCCGAAAGAACACTTACTTTGCTCTAAACTTTCAACATCACTCGAGGATTCCATAGGATCTTCCTCGACTTCGCTTATCTCGTTTTCCGATGCTGCAGTATCGGCGTTCAATTTGTAGGGTCTGATTCTCACCTTCGTGAATTCGTAACTGATCTCCCCGCCACTTTTTGCCAGCGGTTCAATGCATTCCTTTGTAACTAACTGCCGAATCTGTATCGTGGCCCTTTTGGTCTCCAAGCCAGATTTTGCTACTGGGTCTTCGAAGGCCTTGACAAATTTCCACCCGTCCGTAGGCAGACTCGGTTTGCAGGCTCTTATAAGCTGCATCATCTGGTCCGGTTGTGATAGTGTAGAAGGGATCCAGACCCTTGCCCTTGGTCTGGACGTTATGTCACTTTTGTCTACTGCTACCAATTTAGCTCCGGGATATACCTTTCCTACCTTGGCTATAGTAGCTTTATATAGTGTGACCGATCTCTCGTCTGTCGACATCTGTGGATGACGGTGGTAGACTCGGATTGCTTAGTAGCCCCTCCAGCGCCACATTTGTCAGCGCAGCCTTCACCATTGGACTCTGGAGATTCTTCCTCCGGGATCTCCCTCATCCAGCACCTGATTTTTCTGGCGTTACTCTTTATGTCTTTGGTCTTTTGGTTGACGGCCTCTTCAGCTGACCTCTGTAGCTGAGCTGCCACTACTAGCACACTGCTACTTTTCTCAGTAGATAGACAACACGTCGCTTCTTCGCATACCTAGTCTTCACTGGTCTAACCTTAAACCCTAAATGACTAAAAATTCAATTTATTATTATATTTATTGGTGTGAATTTAACATTCTTCGTTGAGTCATCGACTTTAAACTAGGCCATTCCCTGGCAGACGCTCTGCTAGCAGCGACACCTTTGGCATATCCATCCCCTATCAGCTTAGCGGCCATACTTTGGCTACCGGGTTTAGTTACGGGAGTTAGGCATAGCCTCAACACCGTTGCTAGTGCCCGCCCTTGCACTTAGACCAAGCTTTGCTCCTGTCTTTGTACTGATTGTTGTCGAGCTGGTTGCAAACGATGCCTTGTTTTTTTTGTTGTTGAGTTCGTAAAAGGTAAATGGTAAAATCCGGACAACAACCGAAACCTATGTTTATTCCAAATCATACTCGTATCCAATGCATTAAACGAAGAAATCGAATAGAAGATCAAAATCTCCATATACATAACTCATCAATATGGATCACTAACAAAAAATTAGATGCCACCGGTGAAAAGAAGTATCGAGTGGTTATAGAATATCGCTAGCTCAATTCAGTTACAAGCCCCGCTAAATACTAAGATTAGCGAGGTTCTCGCAAATCTTGGAAATAAGCAATTATCTACTGTCATCGATCTAAAGAGTGGGTTTCACCAGATTCCACTTCGTGAGTCAGATATAGAGAAAACTGCATTTTCCGTTAACAGCCGATTACCTTTCGGTCATAAAAATGCTTCTGCTACACTCCAAAGAGCACTAGATGACATTCGTCGTCAACATCTAGTAGTAAGATGTCATTGATGATGTAATAATATTTGGCAAAAATTAGGGAAAAATCCAATTAGATAGAATTACATATGCAACGGAGAACGTGGAATTCTTACGATACGTAATCAACTGAAAAGAAAGAAAAACGAATCCCAAAACGGTAGGCGTGGTAGCTAAATTTCCACTCCC